GGGGGGGGGGGGGGCAGCGCCAGCACTTCATCCCCCACAAGGATCTGCTGGCTTCCACCAACAGCAGCGCGCAAGAGAGGGCAATTAGCAGCATCTGGGCTGCGAGGGTCTCTTCCCTCTCACGCGGGCGGGCAGCGCTGCTTCCGGCGGTCTCACCCTGGGGGCGCAGCTGGCGCACTTCGGTCTCAGGTTTGCGAATTGCAAAAGAGGGCCCGTTGGTGGGAGAGCCCAGGGCTGTCCATCTGCCAAGCATTAGCACTTCTGACAGGGGTATTTAGCATCACTCTTGGGGTGGGGGAGCTTTATTAAAAACCTCACTGTTTATGGATGCTTGGCGTGTCAGGAACGAATACTTGATTAAAGGAGGGGAATTCTCTCTGAAGCCCAATGGGGCAGGAAAGGGGGGCCGGGGACCGGGTTGGGGGTTAGCTTTCTTATGATGCCATCAAGAAGCAGGAGAGAAAAACCCGTTTCTCTCTTACGGTGCACTGGAAGAAATGTCTTTCTGGAAGCTGCATGACGGGGATTGGAAGAACCCACTGCCACAAGGTTTGGGGCCCTTAATCGCCCTAAAGAGTTGGGGTCAGTGGGAAGCTTCAGAAATGTGTGTGGGAGGAGAATGGGCACCCACTCTTGAACACATCTCGGTGTGTCTCTTTCTTTCTCCGGCATCAACCTCCTGGAATGGCATTTGACCAACAGGAGCAAAGGCAAAGAAAACTTCAGAGAAAAGGCATGCTCGGTTTTCGCACCCTGATTTAAGCTATAGGTAGTCCTCGACTTATGACCATTTGCTTAACGACCGTTCAAAGTTACAACGGTGCTGAAAAAAAGTGGCTTACAACCAGTCCTCGTATTTAAGACCATCACAGCATCCCTGTGATCACGTGATCAAAATTCGGACACTTGCCAACCAGCATGTATTTATGGTGGTTGCAGTCACATGATTGCCATTTGCAACCTTCCCAGGGGGGCTTCTGATAAGCAAAGTCAATGGGGCAAGCCGGATTGGCTTAAAGATTGTGGTGATTCGCTTAATGACTGTGGCAAAAAAGGTTGTAAAATCAGGTGCGACTCACTTAATGGCATCACTAAGCAACAGAGATTCTGATCCCAATTGTGGTTGTAAGTCGAGGAGTACCTGTACAGGAATTGATTTGATAAGGGATCAAATAAACTCCTTTTGGAGTTTAAATGCATGTTTCAGGCAGAAACCTTCAGGGTTTGGGGCAAGATCAATGCTCCAACAAGCCCACAGGATTTTTAGGGACACACAGCATTCCCCCCAGCCATGGTTTCTCTCATGTCTACATTCAAAGCACTGGTGTGGCTTGTGGCCCCCGAGGGCCCAACTGCCCAGAGCAGGTGCTGTTTGGCCATCAACCTAATCCGTGGAATCAAAATGTCCACCGCTAACCTCTGGGGAAAGATGCGGAGGCCGGAGGGCAGAAAACGCCAGGCATTTCCCCCTCCTGACCGGTAAACGTTGGCTTTCTCTGGGGTAGGAAGAACAACCCAGCAGTACCGGGGACGTCGGCGGTGGGAGATCAAGGAGACTGTTAGAACAGTTAAAATAGCCCTGGGAGCATCGAGAGAGAAATAGCCATCTTCTCTCGGGCATCAGCCACCCGTCGCGAGAGGCAACGGGCAGGAAAAGCCGTCGGGACGCATTCATCTGGGTCGGCAAACCCAGCCAGGCGGCGGCAGAGCCAGGCTGGCTGAGTCCAGGACGAGTCGGGACCCGAAGTCCAGGCAGGATGAGCAGAGCCCAACCAGAGAAGGGGCAGAGGCCTTGGGGGACCCGATCTCTCCCCTCCCACGCACAGGGAGAGCTCTGAGCCAGTCCGGGGCGGGGCGCAGATAGGGCAGGTACAGTGCTTTGGAGGAGTCTTTTTAAACAGAAAAAAAATATTCTGGTGGGCAGCCCGGCTCCGTCAGATGGTCACTTCTGTCCCCTCTGGAGAAGGTTACCCAAAGGATTCCCGAGAGATTTGCCAAAGTCGTACCACCGCCATCCCCGTGGCCATTCCTGACAAGTATTTAGACACGTTCCTCTGAAAGAGGGTGAGATTCTTGCATGAACAGACCTGAATTATCTGCGAGCGAGGCAAGGAGGGGTCCCCCTGGATCCAGCCGTGGGCCGGACTGGTCCTGGAGGATACTCTGGGCTGGGCTACGGTGCTCTTGGTCACTCCGAGATCAGGGTCCCTCGCACACCTTCCCTGCCCAGCGCAACTCCTATTCCGGGGCAAACACCAAACGCTGTTTTAGAACCTCCCTGCGGCTCCCAAAAGCTTTCCTCTTCTGGAAAGAGGACTTCTGGCCCTCTGTTGTCTTCTCCAGAGGTGTAAGGACCCCTTTCTACTTTTTCTTACAGGTGTTTTTGAGCTGACTGGATTGCTGGAGGGGGCAGAAGGGGCTGCTGTGGGGCCGTGCTCCCCAGCCTGATGATGAAGCCCCAGTGGGGCGCTGCCTGCTTGCGGTCTTCCCTCGAGGTGCAGAAGCGTGAGAGGCCAGGAGGCTGGAGGGAAGGAGGTTCAATGACAAAAGACACACACACACACACACCCCTTGCCAGCTCTTTGCTCAGTAAGCGCAGTGGGAACTTCACCTCTTTCCTCCTGAAAGCAAATTCTCTTTCATGGGAGTTGCCGGAAACAAAAGGCGGGATAACTTTTCAGCGCAGCGTTGCGCAATGGTTTGCCTGCTTACAGCTGGATCCTTGCACAACCTGTGCACACCAGTTGCAAGTCGGGGGTGCCTCATGGAGGGAAGGGGGTCAGACCCACCCCGGACAGATCAACGGGGGAGGGGGGGCAGAGCAGAGAGCTCCCTGCCCCTTTCTTAAAAGCAAACCCGTTTCAGTTCCTTTTCTTTTGTTTTTCAGGAGAAAAAGTTCTCTCCAACCCCGCACGGGCCGGGAGCAAAGCCTAATTGGTATGCATGTCCCTGGGGCCTGCAGCGAGCATCCCCTCAGCGACTGGCAAAGGATCAGAAGCTGCCCTTTTCTCATTAGCCCGTCCTTCCGGTCTGCAAAGAACCAGCACCGTCCGCTGAGACGCCAACACGAAAGGGGGGATCCCGTAGAGAATGGGGGGCCTGGGGGAGGCCGGCATCAGGGAGTTTTCTGCCCCAGCTCCCCAAAGAACCTGGGGAGGGGAACGGAGGGGCTTCAGCGAGGAGCTCCCCGTGGCTAATGGCCTACTTTTATCTCACCACTTCCAAAATCTCAAAAGATTAAAAAGGAGAGCCGAACTCGGCCAGCCACTTTCAACCGAGGCACAGGGAGGGGATCCCCCAAAAGGTCAAGAAATGGGGCAGCGCCTGCGAGAGACGCCACGAACCCCTGTGCTTCCCAGGGGCAGAGTCCCGATTAAGATGCAACGGGCTTCACGTTTTTGGAGCTTGGAGGAACCGTTTTGTTTTCTGGGCACGACTTGAGGGCAGCCACTTGTGACGCTGTCCGTTCAGCCTCCCGAGACCAATTCTGAGCTATTGGATCGTGGCCGAGACAGCCACCCTGGTTCCTCCCGTCTTCCTCGGGATCCCTCTGCTCTTTGGAAGCTCGCCTAGACGAAACATCTTAGAGAACCCAAATGCTCTCGTGCAGCTGATGCCATGTTGACTGGCCTTAATGACCCAGTGGCCTCTCTGTGGACCTGAGGGTCCATTCAGCAACGACAGCTTACTAATCACAGCAGACTTTGGTTATCGTCCAACCTACAAGAAAGTTCGGCTCAACAGAGATCAACACGGAGCACCTCTTCCCATCCTCTGCCAAATTAAAATATGATTTTCCAGCTAAAACAGGAGAGCATTGTGAAAGCATTTCAAATTTCCTTCCAATTTCCACCACCGCTTTCCTTGGGGGAAAAGGGAAGTTCAGTCTCGCTCCTGATGAAAACCAGCAGTTAATGGCTCTGGGCATTCAGGGATTGCTGTTGGGTGCAGGAGATCTCCGGGGCCAGCATCGGTCACCCCGTTCCTCTTCCTGCTTGAGCTGCAGCGTCCCCCAACAGCCAACGCTCATCCTCGCCTAAAAGTCTGAAGTACCCCAAAAACATTCCAGCCAAAGACGAAATACACTGGGGGGGGGGGCAGGGGGAAGGGCTGGAAGATTGCAACTGCTTTTCCCCATCTGGGTTTAGAGAGAAGCAATACCTAAGAATGGCCCTAGTTAGTTTAATTTATTAAGATCTTTTACTGTTAAAATTAATGGGCATGCTTTATGGAGTGAGTTTTCACAATAGTTTAATCTAAAACAAATTACTAATTACATGAATTGAGACAAAGGGCTTGTTCTCGATAAGTAATAAGGGGAGCCCAGGAAAAGCACTACGGATTCTCATTTTTCATTCCCGGGGGGCGGGGAGAAGCCCCCACATTAATGGATTTGGCCCCCAGCCCCACCACCAAGATTGCTCTCCTTCAGGCAGGGATGTGTTTTAAAGCATAAAAATGGGAGACAGATTCGTCACCGGAAACTTTCATTCCCCACAGAGTGGCAAGGAGCTAAAACTGGAAAGGAAGAAGCTCCAGCTTCACGCGCAGTTGAACAGCAGCGCAAGGAGCCGAGGGGTGGGCACGCGAGTTGGCAGAGGGACACGCCGATGGGGCTCTGGGGCGGCTTGGCCCTCCCATGGGCTCAGCTCCATCAGCCCCAGGCAGGGATCTGACCAAGAGTCACCAACGGATTTTGGCAGGTGCCCGAGCAGGGTCGGCAGCCCGTCCTCGGGCGACGTGCCCTCGCTCTAATTTCAAAAACTCCGCCAGAGGTCAGTTCTGGAGGGTGGAGGAGCGATCTGCCCGCCCTGCAGCCTGTTGTTGTTGGGGGGGGGGGTGGGGAGGGGGCCAGAGAGAGGAAAAGAGGATGCTGCAACGGGAGAAAACCTCTCCCCCTACCATTTCTGCTTCCCCTTGGGGAAGGTGGTTTGTTTCTGAGTGGGTTCAAAAACGATGGGTGGGTTGGCAGAGTTTTCCTGGCTGAACTTCTTCAGCGACCAGGGAAGGGCGGGCGAAGGTCCCATCACTCTCTGCGGTGGGCACAGCCTGCGGGCGCTCCTCAAATCCCAGGAGCTCTGTGTGGCCCAGCAGAAGCCGAAGAAAAATAATCCGGGGGGGGGGCAGGGACGGGAGCAACGGTGTTGGACGACTGGTCTCTGCCCTGGTTCTCCAGGCAGGGAGGCGGATCTTCCCAAGGCCGCTTGGAGGTGCCAGGCTTGCCATCAGGGACTTCCCAGGATGGGCAGGGGGCCTTCTGAATGCCAAGAGGTGCTCTCTGACCAAGCTGATGTCTTCTTTTGGCTCAGGCAGGGGGAACCGCTGGCCCCCCAGACGTCCTTCTGCCTGGACAAGCAGCACAAAGCGTGAATGCGGAGCATCCGTTCTGAGTCTCCATCCTACTACGCCCATCGACCAGCTGCAGCCAGTCGTTCCGGTCTGAGACGCAGGTCCTCCCAGTGCTATTCCAGGCACGTGCCTCGTCCCACTTTGAAAGCAGCTGCCGCCCCCGTGCCTCCCGACTGCAGCCTTCCAAATTAGGCTCTGCCGCCCTGAAGCACGGCTCTCCACTAGCGCCTGCATCCGTGCCGGTCAGGATGAGTGCTGAGTGCGGCCGCAGGCCCTCTCCCGCTGTGGCCTTGGCTCGGCTGGCCTCCAATCTCCAGCCACTGTCAGGGCGCTTCCCCTAGCGCTCGTGTCCCCAGGGCCCTCGTGGGTCTCAGCCTGGCCAGGAGGGCTGCAACGGTAGCGGGGCAGTAGGAGGGGGGAAGAAAGGGGTGCAGGAACGCCAGCTCGGGTAACAGCTGCCCGAGGCTGAAAAAATCACTTGTGGACCGGACAGCAGAGCCTGGACTGCCCCCGTGGGCAAGCTGGCACGAGGCCACACCCAGGTCCTTCAGGCCAGCAGAAGCAGGCACGCCCACTGGGTAAGCTTTCAGTGGGACTTCTCGAGAAAGTCATGGCACCCCATTCCCGTGTCCCACCCAGCCCCAAAGATGACATTACTTCTACCGTGCTCACAGGGGGCCCCAGGCTAGGCTGCGGGCATGCTGTTCACTTTGCCCACGTTCATCTGCCAACCCTGTTGAGAACTGCCACAGCTGGCTTTCTCCATCGTGCCCCACCAGGATGTCTTGCAGCCCCGTGGGAGTTGCATCCTCCCCCCCACGAAGCTGCCTGATCTGGGGACGGCCATCCCCCCATCTTCTGAAGGACCCCAGGTTTGGACTGAGGACTCTCCCCGCCACCCTGCCGATCCTCGCACTGCCGTCAGCAGAGAAGCTACGAAACTGCTGTCACGGCTCTCACAGGTGGCCCGATTAATCCTTGTTCTCCCTGCGCTCAGGCAGTTGCCAAGGATCAGCACATTTCCAGAATTTAAGGGACCCGTGAAATAAGGGCTCAGCGTTTTTTCAGGCTTAAGGCTTTTGATACGGGAAAAAAGCCCTCAAGCAGAGCGAAGGACGACCAGCATCTTCTTTCTCTAAGCGGGAGGAAACATCTTCTCTTAACCACCTGTCTGGTGTGGGACCACGTCCGCAACGAAGCCGCCCAGCCACTAAAATCTGGTTTTCAGTTTTTCAAGTGTTTCCTCCTCTTTCTGCCTCATGCTTTGTTGCTGGAGAACTTCCTTTCGATTTCCCTTTCGAGCTGTTGGAGGGAGGAGATCTTTCCAGCCTTCCTGACAGCCCAAACTTTCTCATCTGGACACCAGCAAAAGGTAGGAAGCCGGAGAAGGAGTTGGGGAGGCAGAAGGAGCCCCTGCACACACCCCTCGAGTGTTTTCTCACTGAGTAAGTGCAAGAAGACCACATACCCCCAGTGAGAATGTCAGTGAAATGCCCATTTCTTTCTAAGAGGACCGCGGAGGGCTTTTTAAAAATCTTTTAGTCAACTTGATTTTCTCTAAAGCTGTGCTGAAGACCCACCCTGCCTTCTGTGGGGTCCACGCTCCTGTCACTCGGAGGAAACGAGATGGCTCCAGAAATTCCGTGCGCAACAGGAGACAACTTTTCAGAGCAAATTTTCACAGGCAGCACATGGGGGATTATCTATTAGAATTCCCACCGGGGCCAAAGGGCCCCTGAGGGACGCGTGTGAAGGTTTGGGCTTCGCCGCACCGTCCTCTTTGCTCCGTAAATCAAGAGCCTGTTTGGACTCGGGGGGGGCACTCAGGGAGGCTGCACAGAAACAGAAATGGGTTCCTTTTTTAAAAAAGCAGGCAACAGTAGCCAAGCGCTGAACAAAGGCCCCTAAAAGACGTTCTAAAGGCCTGTAAAAGGAGACAGGAGGAGAAGCCCACCGTTCCGATGCCCGATCGGATTCCAGAAAGCCCACTTCTCACGTTCCTCGGGAGACTGCAGCAATTCTTGGCGGCCACCCAAGGGGGCTGCATGTTCACCCCCCGCACACACAAGAAGACCCCAACCCTGAGTTGCTTGCCCTTGGAAACACGATCAGCCCCCGCCACTCCCTGGTAGCTGCTTAAGCGCTCTGTGCGCCCGGATGTCCTCTTGCTGCAAGCCCTCGAAAGCCAGCGCAGGGAGCAGTGCCCACCCTGGGGGAGAAGAGTCCCTCCGTGCCCGGCACGTACTGCTGTGCTCTGTGTCCCTTTGCAGATAATTTGGATGGATGGGGACAATTGGGGACACCACGCAGTGTGGCCAGGAAATGCCACGAACTGCCGCGTCTCTGCTCCATTTCCAGTCTGCTAGCCAAGGGAATCCAAACTGCTTCGTTCAGAAATGGCAATGAAATGAATGCTGCCAAGTGCAAAAAGGGGTGATCCGCCTCCCCCCTCCCCCCCAGTGATGCTGCCTCCCCAAAGGTTAGAAGCAAACAAGCATAACCACGGCCTCTTGCTTTAACCCAAACACTTCCTCCATCAACAGCTGGCAAGATCGTGAGCCACCGCCAGGCTGGGGAACCTGCTGACCCCCAGCGTCCACGTTCCATCCGTGCTGACCTTCAGAGGCCCAGAACTGCCGCTCCGGACCCCGTGTGCCCTCTAGAGCCTCTTCACCCACGCTTCCCAACCGGCACTTGGGCAATCCCACCAGCTGAGGCCACGTGCCGGTGTCCATTAATGGCCTTTCGGGGTGGCATCGCTCCAGACAGAGACGTCCGGCCAAGGGGCGCCCAGGCTGCTGGCTTTTCAAGGGGGCAAGACGGGGAGGGCAAGCGAAGATAGAGGAACGGGTGCCCGTGGCAGGAAAGGGCTGAGGCCGCCTGGCACCTGCCAGGAGGGTGGCGCGCTCTTACCCTGGAGGGCTTCCTTGGCTCTCGCCAGCTCCTGCTCCTTCTGGGCCAGCTGGACCCTGAGCTCCGTGGCCGAAAGGATCTCGGTCGACTTGCCCCCGTGCGTCTCCTCCAGGTCCTTGGTGAGCATTTCCTTCATTTGCCGGAGCAAGTGGATCTCCTCCTGCAGCTGGCTCACCTCTTCCCGGAGAAGGACTGAGAGGAAAGAGGGAGACAATGCGGGGAAGTGAGCGCTGGCCTCCTCCTCCTCCTCCTCCTCCGGCCACCGAGCACGCGAGGAATGCGGAGGCGGAGGAGCCGGGACACGGCCACGCTCCATCTGAACCACCAGGGGAGCACCTTGTGCCACGCGCCCCCCGGCGGCTGTACCCTCCCTCGCTCCTTTACTGGGGGAAGCCCCCAGCGTGAGGGAGGCTTCATTTGGATTGGTGCCCACCTTTCCGCCCAGTGAAGCATGCGAAGCAGGCGTCAAAGGCGACTCTGAAACCGCATCGTATCTAGCAGCGTTTTCAAACTCAGCAACTTTAAGATGTGTGGACTTCAACTCCCAGAATTCCCCAGCCAGTTTGCTTTGTGTCACTGCGTGAGTCACTGCAGAAATCATGATGCAAGGAAGAGTTGCAAAGCAAGAAAGACAGCTTGATTTGCAACCCATCCATTACATACTAGGAAAAATACGCTCCGTGCATTGTATTCTATAATTTCTGTCGCTCTGGAGCTGACGGTCATAAAAAGAACTCCAATTGTTCAGAGAAGCTGCAACTGAGGCCCTTTTCCTTCTCCCTTACCGTCTCTCTTTCCTCATGTGCCACAACTTTTAAACTCAAGGGCACAGGAGTCTCCCGGTTCGTATTTCTATGCCTCTCTGAGGTCTTAAATAGCCGAGTAAAAGTGCTTCAAATCAGACAGACAGGGTGCCTGATACAATTTCACACTCCGTGGAAAATAAATTGGGATTGATGGCCCACGTGGGCGAAGCTGGCAGCTGGTGTCTGCAGCTCAGCCCTCAACCCCTGGGACCCGGAACCGCGCTAATAAGAAGGATCCCCGGATGGGAGACAAGAAACCTTTAATCTCCCCCCTCTGGTCCTTCCAGGGGCACCTGATGAAAGCCGAGACTTCAGTCTTGCCACCGTCTAATTACGCGGTCGGAAAACAAGATGTACTGAACAGGTAAAGTGAGAGGCTTGGGGGTGGGGGTGGAAAGGCCCCCTCCTGTTCCCCTGAAGGCGCCACGCAGAATACGCACCTGCCTTCGGACAACAGCACCGCGCTGGGCAGCGCCTGATCCGGCAAGGAAGGAAACCAGAAGGCCACGGTGGGCACCAAGGTGGGCTTTTGGACGCTGCCAGGCAGCCAGGCCGCCTGTGGGTTTCCACCCATCCTCATTCCGTGGGATGGAAGGGGATGTCTTTTCTGGGGGGCACGGGCTGGCATCTCTCTGCATGCCAGGGGTGCCCAGTGGGGGGCGTTGTGCCGCCTGCACCTTCCAGGCCCGGAAAAGGCCAGAGGAAGGACCATCTGCTTCCGTGGCCCTTGAGAAACGGCCCAAGAAGGCTGGCTGGGGAATTCTGGGAGTTGAAGTCCACCCATCTTCAAGCTGCCAAGGCCGAGAAACGCTGCCCTGTGCCCTGTTACGTGTTCCTCTCCCGAGACCCGTTTTATGGCTTAAATAAAGAGAATGATAAAAAGGACTGCTAGATCCCACTTTTACTTTCTGTCTGGCAGCAGCCTTCAATGGCTGATACGTCCCTTCGAAAACTCTTTTCTGTACTAACCCCCCCACGCTCCCCCTTCAACATACACATCTTGCTCATTAACTGCAACTTGGAGCGAACTGCTTCCTGCCTTCCCTTTCCCCCAGAACAGACGCAAGCCCACCGAGAGCAATGCGGCGCTGGAGAAAATGCCGCGTGGTGCAACTCGGACGGGCGGGCCAAGATGCCCCACAGCTGCCAGGGAAGGTGGACTTTGAAGCACATGAAATTAAAGGGAGGTGGAATATGAAGAGCCTGACGCTAAAATTAGATTTTCACTTCCCCTGGTGAAAGTGTTCCCTTTGGCACACGGCTGGGAGCGCAGCGGGAAGGAGGGGCTTAGCAGAAAATTCAACCCAGCATTTCTGGCATTAACTCTGTAATTATGGGCTGTTGGGTTGGTTTAATTACACACCACCATCTTGCTATTGAAAAATATGAGAGACAACCTGGCATATCCATTTACTTGGGGGCAAGCCCTACTGAGCCCAATGAGGCCTCCTTTGGAGCCAGCAGGCAGCTGCTTCCGCGGCTCGGGGTCCTCAAAATGGGGTGGATTTCAACCCCCATCCTGCCTGCAGCCGGCACAGGCTGTTGGTGCACGTTCGCAGCTTTAATCCCTTCTCCCCAATGCCCAGCAACCCCAGCTGGGTTGGCAACCAGCTGTTTATGTTCCCTCCAACATTGGAGGGTGAGCTGGGGACGTTCCTCGTTTTGGCTCCCAGGGAAAAGTTCCCACCCGTGTCATTTTCTGGCAGAAAAGAAGAGAATCTCAAAACATTTCTCCTCGGAATGGCAAGGGGTGTCTTGTTCTTGGACTTGGGGGCTAAACCTGCTCACAAGACACGTGAAATCTGGGAACCGAATAACCCCATTTTCTGAGTTTCCACAAGACACCGAGCGTCAGCAATGGAAGAGGGTGGGTGGGCTCAGCAGGTCTGTAGCTGGGATGAGGAGAGGCGCTGTGTGAAGCGGATCCAGGGAGCATCCTGTCTCCCCAAAAAACCCCTCAGCCCCCCAGCTTCCCTACAACCCCAAGGGACCTTTCAGCTGGGGAAACTGGAGAGAAAGAACAGCCCCCCAAAAGCTGCCCCTGATGAACGGAGCCCCAACCCAACCCTAAACCCAAGGATTTGGAAAGGCATTCCACCTCTGAGAATGAGGCAGAAAAGCAGGGCCCTTGCTGGCACTACGACCCTGAAAGCGGAAGGCAGGAGTGCCACCCCACCCCACCCACCCCTTTGCCCCACCTTTGCCACCAACGTGGCCTGGCATTGGGCAAGAATTATATAAATCTATATTTTTATTAAAGTTTTTAAAATTTTTAAAATTTAGATTAATAATGATCTCCCTTCCGGTTCCTGCACTTCTGAGACGAGACGAGCCCCACCTTCCTTTCTGCCCAGCGAAGGGGGATAAAGCGGCCCACAGGGTACTGCACAGGTTCTGGGTTCAGGGCCCCGTCTGGGACTGTCCCCTTAGATGGACGCGCCCTGTTCCCGGCAGCTCCCCACGGAGACGTTTCCGCAGCCCTTGGCCCTCCCCGGCTTTCTGAAAGGATCTCGTGCTTGCTTGAGAGGGAGGGACGGGCCCTTTACTTACACGCTTATTAAAGTTGGACCTCCTGCCCAGAAACGGCCCTTGGTTTCTACCAGGAAGGAGATCAAGAGGAACAGGCGGAAGCAGAAATGAGAGTCATCGTCCGCTCTCCTCTCCAGCACCCTCAGAAACAATGACGGTATGTGGAAGACGCCTGTGCCTCCCATGACCTTCCGTGCACAGCAGGTGGCAACCCACCCTGCCGGCCCCGGGGCATCTCGACAAAGCAGGCCTGGTGAGGGCCTGGACGCTCCTGGGCTGCAGGCCAGTCTGGCGAGTCAACGAACACCACCGCAAACCAGTTCCATCCTTCTGCGAGAAGACCAGGTGGAAGGGAGACTTTCCTTCCCCCTCCAGTGGGCGCTCCCGGCCTCACCCCCCACGTGGGACCGGGAGTGCAGCTGGGTGCCGCGGCTCAGAGGCTGGGCAGAAGCACGGCTCCCCGAGGGCACCCACCAGCCGGCTCCCCGTGGAGAAGCTGCAACCGTGTTCCTTCAGCTCAGGAAGGAACTGCCAAGGACAGACAGAAGACCCTCTGACGCGTCCCACCCCAAAGCCGGGGAAAAGGCGGAGGTTTCTCCGGAGGGTCCGTTCGGTGGGAACCTGCGGATTGAGAACCACCTCTGAGCGGGAACATCGCAGGGCATTTGTGCCTCCCACGGTGCCCCCGCCTGATTCCAGGCACCAAGGAGGGGTCTCCGACGTACCCTGTGCACCCAGGATCAGGGACGAGATTCCTCCCTCCTGGGCAGGAGCACGGTCCCGCAACACCCCCCCACGGGACCCAAATCAGTGGATCCTGCAGGAGGAGGGCCCTTTTCATTTCCTGCCCTTGACCGGGCCCCCAGGTGCTGCTGGGGCTCCCCTCAAGGCAACGTTGGGAGACCTGCAGCCCCCACTCCAGCGTCAACGCTTCCACGTGGCCTGTTTCCTGGTTCCTCAGGTGCCGAACAGGACCAGCAGATCTGGTTTCCACTCCTTTTTTTAAACACTTGAAAAAGGAAGGGGCCGTGGCCTCAACACGCCAACCGCCCAAGGCACGGAACGTGGGTCCAGTCACCTGGACTCCTTCCCGTCACGACCCCGCCTGTGTGGTCAAAACAGAGACAGGATTTGCAAGCAGAATCTCCCCACTTCAGGCCTGAAGT